TTACCGTGGAGCCTAAGTGTAGGCTTTTGGGAATAAGTTTGTGTTGTCGGCATCTCAGGTTCCTAGTCTGCAATTTTCCTGGCTGTCCTTTCATATTCCCGTACCAATGTGAGGGTGTTCATCCCAAAATGATTAGCAAGATGTCTATGAAGATTCTCAGTCATCCAGGTCATAGTTTATTAACGATTAACCTGACGATAAATCTAACGTTAAAAAAATCAGTGTACAGTGTACTTCCAAGCCCCCCAAAAATTGGTAAAAACTAATAGCAAATTATATTTATATAAACCATCATCATTGAGTACTTTAAATATAATAATACAGTTAATGATCTCTCTCTTGGCAATAGAAGTTAAATGTCCCCATTGACCAAAAAGTAAACATCCATATTGACTGACCACCCTCCTGTATCTGCATGAAATGGTTTGGTCCTGACTTAGCGCACTCATCAGTGACGGTATTTTGTTGCATTCAGCAGATGAGCCAGGAACACAGGCAAATTGCATTCTGGGATACATTGAATGGACTATATAGGGTATAAAAATGATCACTATACATTCGGACAGCACTACAAAATAGCGAGCTCACTATATAGTCCACTATATAATGAGTAGTGGGTGATTTCGGACCCAGCCAGAGTGATCACAATGTTGCCAAGTAAACTAAAATCTGGTTTACAAAAAGGAAAGAGAGGAACGAGAGAGAGGAAAGACAAAGGAAAGGATGTCAATCTGTAACCCAGTTTTTCCCCAAGACAGGTGGGCAGCCTAAAGTCTGTGAGTGGTGTTAACCTGTTAATGGCTTAATGTCCACAGTGAAATAGCTAGCTAGCTCCAGACTAGTGTTAGCCTACATTTCATCAACATTTAATCAGTGCAGGGAAACGTTTAGCAAGATATTCATATAAAATCATTGTCCCTGCCCCTTTTAGCAGTCTAACAACAGATGAACAGCACCCCAGTGTCCCCATAACTGTAGCCTCCCTGTCGCAGTGAAGAATGTGAGCAACACTGTGTTAAGCTGATGAAACACAGAGCATTTTTACATTTATTCATTTAGCTGACATTTTTATCCAAAGCGACTTCTATACATGTCAGAAGTCGCACGCCTAGGGGCGCCACCACCACCCCTAAATCAAGTGATTGGTTGCAAAAAAGCTGGAACTAGTAAGACATGCTGTCACCATTACCCAGAGGCCAAAAGTGACGCCTTCACAATTCTTGTTTTGTCCAACCAACAGTTCAAACTTCAAAAATTAAAAGGAAACGCAGCAAATCTGCTATAAGCTGGACCCACAGAATATTTTTTGCAAAAGAAATAAAAGATTTTCAAAATAGTTGCCAATCACATTTTTGTCAATCGACTAATTACTTAAAAAACATTTGTTCTTAAAGTAACTAGTAACTGCAGCTGTCAAATTGTAGTGAAGTAAAAAGTACAATATTTCATGAAGTGGGCATAAAAAATACTCAAGCAAAGTAGGCCTAATCTAAATATGTACTTAAGTACATGTACATTCACCACAGATTAATAAAACAGCTCCAGATATGTCCATAAAACATTATGGTAGGCTGTAATACAATTATTTATCAATTTACATTACATTACATTTACTCATTTGGCCAACGCTTTTATCCAAAGCGACTTACATTTGTGGAACAACATACAAGCATCAACAGAGCATCAATTACAGATCTACAACTGACAAAACATACTAGTAAGAGCAGCAATAAATACTAGTAAGAGCTCACAGTACATATCACATCAATGGGGTAGATACCTAGGGAAGGAAGTAAGAGTTAACAAAAAGTGCAATTAAAACAAAAAGTGCAATACAAGATCATTGTAGGGGATAGAAGAAGAAGAGCACAGGAAGTGCATGTTAGGGGTTAGGAGTTAGAGGTGTTATAAGAGGAAGTGTTCTCTGAAGAGATGAGTTTTCAGGAGCTTCTTGAAGTTAGAGAGGGACGCCCCTGCTCTGATGGCGTGTGGTAGCTCGTTCCACCATCGTGGTGTCACAGATGAAAAGATTTTCATTTCGGTTTGGAAAGTTTTATGGGAAAATATTTCCAGCTTTTTTGATTAGCCTATTTTCTGTGTTAAAGATATTCAAATAAAATGTTTCATAATCAAATAAGATACCGCTATTATTTATTTTTGATGTTGAATGTACTGGGCAACATTGCCGTCAGTGGTAATGAGTAAAGATTACTACAGTAATCCCCTTCGCCCACCACTCCGCCACCCACCCCACACCGCCGCTATCCGTTCAAAACATAGTCGGACATGCCACTAGCAACACTGCCCAGCAACTTTGCTCAAAAAGTTGCCCCGTGTATCATCAGCTTTAATGACAGGCCAGTTAGCATCATTCCAGGGAGTCTGTGGGGATTTCTCTGTCTCTCTTGCTCTTTTTATCATAACAAAAAAGAAAATGACATATTTATTAATGACAGAAATTCAAACACAAATTATTTTCTCCCATAATGATCATTATGAAATAAACCTCCTGTCTGCACTGGATGCTGGACAGTTGGAAACTTACCTCAGCCTGCATGTAAGTTACAGACAATTTTAAAATAATCCAGTTTGATACGTTAATTTAGATTGAATTATGGCCGTTAAATGACATATATAGATTAATTTTATAATAAAAATGCATTGAGAAGACTGTTACAAATTGCCTTAAGGACATTTTTATGGTGGCTTTTAATCTTGCATCAAATAGTGAACTGCATGTATGCAGACTTGCATGTACAAATCACCAGCAGTAAATTTTGTGCTAGTACTAGTATTGAACTACAAGAAACAAGACAGTTGCAAGCCTTTAATTAAAGTTATGTACATCTTTTGATGGGACAGTTAGGTCCTAGAGATTTGGTGACATCAGCTGTGCAGAGGGGGCCCAAAGTTTCTGGCAGCGCCGCTGACAACACCAGTGAAGCTGGGGCTCCATTTTTTCAGCAAGAGTTCCTCTTCCGCCACTACACACATACACGCTACGCCTACACATGAGCACGGACGCCCCAGGGTTAGGGTTACAATTTTGAATTTATTCATGCCCTTTAAAAACATTAATTGAAATTTTCTTTCTTTTGACCTGTTTATTTACTGGATAAAACGTTGAAATGTACATTGTAATAGGCTGTATATTCACTTATTGGGAGAAACTTTGATATAAAATCAGACGTTGGGCACCCCCATATCAACAAAATGGCATTAACCTTGTTTCGCTGTTAAGCTTCGACTGTGAGCTTGACAGTCGAATCAGGCTCCGCCCAAGCACTGAATCGACTATTCAAGGTCAGTCCTACAACTTCCCTTGCTATTTTTAAGAAAATTTGCCTCAAAATCATTTTAGAGCGCAACAATCAGTAAAAAAGCCAGTGAAATCCTGGAAGGACTGAATATCATGTCTTGTCTCGTCACACCCCTACTAGTTAAGTGGTTCATGGTGTTTGTTGTAATTCTATTTGTTGTTATGTAGTACAGAATATAAAGGCAGCTGAAACTGATTAGTTATTTTGGATTATATAAATAAATCTGGTGGATTTTGAACCTGTGTGTGAGTGTGGGCACTAATAAGCTTTGATTTGCTGAATCTGATTTTCTGAGCTTGCAAGTTGTTAAAGAGAGACATTTCTCCCTAAATCCAACCCAATAAAACCCCAATAATCACATTTACACACCTGTTTTCATATAAATCAAATTAGTAAACTGTTAAACGCATAACAAGGTTTAACCTCAAATTAAAACAGAATTAATTTTATTTACACAGCCTGCAGTGTAATTTTAAAAAATGATACCGTAATAGAAGTTTGTTTTATGAACAAAAACATTCATTCCACCCAAAATATTTAGATTTTATTTATGTTATGCTTAAAGGTTTTCTCTCTTTTACTAAGGATTTACGTTATGATGCAGATTTATAGCAGATATTTGTTTCATAAATCCCTCTCAGTATATTATGCAGCTTCAGGAAGCCCATAAACAATCCCACGATAAATTAAAAAACATAAAGTCTGTGAAATCACATAGGCCTGTTGCTTTCAATATTTTCCATGTTTAAGTCAAGTTTGATGAGTCTAAAAATATATTCACTTTTAGAGAGACCCATAACTTAAATAAAAATTAAAAGGATGCTCTTAAGTGCCAAATTTTCACATAAAATACCAAGTCAATGATAAAACCTCTGTGTCCTTATGGTAGCTTACTGGCCTGAATTCAGATGACAATAATTACCTAGAAAATATTTTAATTAACGTTCAAATATCGAATAAAAGTTAAATTAATGTGTGAACTGACCTGATCAAATTATGTCACAGACAGTAAGCTGGTCTGGACACAAACTGAAGCTGATTAAAGTTATTTCAATAAGTCAGGTCTCTGTACAGCAGAGGAGAGAAACAGGACTTTCTGCTGTCAGTTACTTCATGTTAAATGTAACATTTGGCGGAAACGGAAAGTCTTTTCCAGCAGATCCATCTGTGACAGGAGTCCATCCAACTGACTGAGTCACCAACAGCAACCGTGTGTTTACCGCCACAGAAAACGTCTCTGATTGAAACTAAATTAATCACATTATTGCAGTTATTTCAGTTTTATTCTATCCCTACACGTCTCCGCTTACTGGGAAACCACTGTCACATTTAATACAAATTCTTTTTAGTCATTTTTAGAGACGAAATGTGAAGAAAACTCGCCGCGAGTTGTCCAAAGTGATGGTGTGTTGGAGAGGTTTGAAGCATCCTGGGATTAAATGAACGAGTCCTGGTCGCCAAACACGAACTCAGTCTGAAGTGAAGAACTTTTTCTCACTCATAAAAGAACATTTATGGTCTAAAACGTTCGTCTTATGTGTATTTTATCGCCAAAATGCGGAAGAGAAAACACAAGTGTCGCCACATTTGAGGCGGGCGGCGGAGCGGCTGCGTGTGTTGCCTCTCCACGGTTCTCATGTGCTTTATAAGTCCCGCCTCCTCTCAGCTCGGACACCTTCAGACAAACACAGCAGACAGAGACGCAGAGATGGCGGAAGAAGCTCCAGCAGCGGCCCCGGTCAAAGCCCCGGCTAAAGCCCCGAAGAAGAAGGCGGCTCCCCGTCCCAAGAAGGAGGGCCCGACCCTCCCGAAGCTCATCATCAGCGCCGTGGCTGAGTCCAAGGAGCGCAAGGGGATCTCGCTGGCGGCCATTAAGAAGGTTCTGGCGGCAAAAGGCGTCGATGTGACCAAAGCCAACAAACGCATCAACACCGCCGTGACTAAGCTGGTGACCGGAGGAACCCTGGGACAAACTAAAGGGACCGGGGCCTCCGGCTCCTTCAAGCTCGCCAAGAAGGAGCCCAAAGCCGCCAAACCTGTCAAGAAAGCGGCGCCGAAGAAGAAAGCTCCCGTTAAAGCCAAGAAGCCCGCAGCCGCCGCCAAGAAAGTTACAGCGGCCAAGAAACCGGCAGCTAAGAAGCCAGCGGCCAAGAAACCGGCAGCGGCAGCAGCGGCCAAGAAGTCCCCGAAGAAGAAGGCACCGGCGAAGAAAGCCGTGAAAAAGCCGCTAGCGAAGAAGAGTCCCAAGAAGACCCCCGTTAAAAAGCTCAAGGCGGCCAAGAAGCCCGCTGCCAAGAAAGCTCCGGTAAAGAAAACTGCAGCCAAGAAGACCAAGAAGTGAAGCGGCTCTTTAATCCAGCACTCAGTGCACCAAAGGTTCTTTTAAGAACCACCACAGCTTCACTAAAGAGGCTTCCTCATTTATTAGTACAACTTCAACACCTTGTTACACAACAAACCCACTCTGAGCTGCAATTAGACAACACAACTATACTTATACCATATTATACATCCATGTGTTATTAGTATCAGATGGTATAATACTCTACATCAACTTTTATATTGGGAGTTAAATGCCTAATAAATCTACTCTAGTGAACTAAACAGAACTGTCATCACCATCAAAGCTTTATTTATTTAAATTTATTTATCAAACTGCAGTCAGGTTTTTTTTTTTTTTACATACAGGTAATTTCTCAAACAGGTATTTGATGTGTGGCAGCAAGTGACCTTTCTCTTTTATCAAACATTCAAACATTTTTGTTCCATGATAAGACACCAAGGACAGTTTGTTAACATCCAATTTAGAAGGAACTCTATGTGCACAATTATAATAGCTGATTGTTGGCTGTATTGAGTACTTCCGTATTAAAATTATAGTTTTAATACCATCATTTATTTTAATTTGTACTAAAGTGGTTTGATCCGTTTCACCCTGTATGTTCAGTGGAATTTAAATCAGACCAGGGTTCAATTCCCCACTGTGACACATCAACCAATGAGTCCCTGAGCAAAACACTTAACCCGTAATTGTTCTAGAGGAGTGCGTCCTCTGACATATGTAGCAATTGTAAGTCGCTTTGGATAAAAAGCGCCAGCTAAATGTACTATGTTCCCTATATATTGATTATACATTTGTTTAAATTGCGGTGTTGTTCTTATGACTTCACACGTTAACTAATTAATAAACCTTCATTTCTGGATAAAAGTATCCAAACTTTGAGTGATAAATCTCACATGAGCCACATATCAAAGGCAGTTTTACTGTAGTTGGATTGTACTGCCTCTAACTGATTTCCACAAAAATAATTATCCAGGCTATGTTAATTAGCCTAATCTTTAACTACATTGCCTTCACTTTCTGTTTAATGGATTAAAGTACTAAAGGAAATGTACAAATTTTGCGAGGTCAGTAGGCTACTTTTAATTTAGTAATTTTAGTAAGCTGGACATGTAATTTTACTTAAGTACTGGATTTTACGTGTGATGAAGTATTTATACGTTGTGATATTGACACCTTGGATCTCTACCTCTTCAAACACTCCGTTCCACTTTGCAACATGACTTGTAACAACTATCATTAAACAATGGTGCCATTTAGTGGATGAACTCAGAAACACTGTTAATGTAGGACCTTGTATAAAACCTGTATTTGGTTTTTATTAGGCTGCACAAACACAATGAATTAGAATATAATGATGGTCTATTGGCCATGACATGGTGCTATATTATTATATTAGAGATTTCAAGGACAACTTCTTTCAGTATCAAAAACAGATCAACATCTTTTATTTACCTGGATCTTTTTCCCATATTTGATACAGCCATAAATGTTTTAAAAGCTTAATATTTGTTGCGTACCTCAAATAACCTGCTGCGCATTAACCTTGTACGTTTATCTGTAGTCGAGCATTTGATGGTATAAAATTGTGGGTCAAACCTTGATATTGTGAGCAATACAATGTACAGTGAGAAATGAAGTTTGTATCATGTTCAGCTGTGCTGGTTCTGCTAATAAAGGAAAACTGTCAGTGAGAGTCTGAAATATGCATATTTACCAAACAAAGTATAAAATATACAGCTAATAATGTAAAATGTACTCAAATATTTATAGTGCAGTTTTACTGTCCTCCAACTACTGATTGTGACACATAAATATACACATACATAAATCGGAAACTTTTTCAAATTTCATCTTTATTGGACAAGAATAGAAAATTACCTCACACATCTATAACATGAGGCAGGTGCATCAGAGGGGGAGGAGTAGGTGAAAAGTTGCAAAGAAACTACTGCACATTGTCTAACCTGCAAAAATAAATGTTTGTGCTGGCAACATTTTGGTACTAGACCTTCATCAGGCAAATGACGTTACATGCTGAGAAGCCGTGTTTGTCTGTCAACCACTTCCACATGAAATCAAGTAACATTACAAAATGTTCATTCACATTTACATTACTGTAGCGTAAGCTTAAAAACAACACTCGCTATAGTAGCAATAACATTTCGTGACAGATCTGTAATAGATGGATGTAGATTTCTGTGAAATTGATGTAATACCATAATAATTATTTCCATAATTTATATAAAGGGAATTCAAAGAAACTCTCAAATGTTCTAGGTAAATTTCACATCAAGTGAAATATTTCAGGCCTTTTGTTTTTTTGGCTTACAGCTGATGGAAATTTAAAAATCCATACCTACAATATTAGAATAAAGAATGTATAATACAGACACAAGAGCCTTTAATCTCTTAATCTGGTGTCCAGGTCACTGCTGAGAAGGCTGTTCACTGTATCATGGAAAGTTGGTGTGGGAAGAGGATCACAAGCAACAGGGATGAGCACAGCATTGAGAGAGTTGTTAAGTTAAGCTTTTGAAGAGCTTCACAAGGAGTGGACTGAGGCATGAGTTTGTGTCACGTTCATGGTGTCAAGCCACTTCTTCTTGTTGATATAGTAACTATCAGCTTTGGATAAAAGAATGATGTACAGAACATCACAGGATTAAACGTCCAAGTATTTGACATTAAAGTTAATAAAGGAGCGTTAACTTTTTAGAGGAAGTGTGTGGCCCTTAAAAGGGCCTTTGAGTTTTAGTGGGTCTGGATCGGGTCTAGCCTCCTGCTGTCTCACGCACAGATGTAGGTCACCAGACTCTGCAAACAGTTTGATTTTAACACTGAAATACTTCAGCCCAGTTCTTCTCTAGTATGTTAGACTTGGCATTTTAGCCTGTATGTAAATGTGATATTGTAGTTGGTTCTTTGTATGTTATGGGAACTCATTTTGCTTTTTTTATAGCCTCATTTGTAATTAAGTTTCCTCAACCCTTTGCAATAATAGTTTAGAATTTTCTTAAATCATTAGCACTGTGAATCCCCAGTTTGTGGAATTTTCTGTATTCAGTGTAGCAGTTTATAAATTAAGAAGTCAACTCTTTAAATGAAGTGTGCGGCCCTGGCATTAAAGCTGATGGGCCTACAATGTAGCACTGATCGCTGTCGTTCAGGGGGCCTTTCTCATTTTCCAAACTTCGATATCAGCACGCCATCTTGAAGGACATCTCAATTCTTAAAATGCACATCGAGGCTTGCTGGAGAAGCTATAAGCGAGGATACATCGCTGTATCCTTTGCGGAAGTCTTTTCAGCCGCTGTGATATTTACAAGAGGCGTGACCAGCAGCTGGACCGGAGCAGGACGCTGCAGGGTTCCTGTTGTTGCCTATTAATTATATTGTGTAGCGCCTCATAAAGCGCTGTTCTAACCGCATTTCTTAATGTCGTTTCACTTTGACGTCAAGTTGTTGAATGTGATGCAGGATTGTAAAAATGAACAGTAAATAGCTCCTGGATGAAGCTTCTCCCCAGTGACACTGTGCGCATTTACGCACGAGCCACAGCAACACAAATTAATAATAATAAATCTCCGACACGCCGACAGGGTCGGTTCGGTCAGGATCTGGTGTTAATTCATGTTCTGTGTTCTTCTTCACATCCAAAAGGTCTCACACAGAGTCCAGGTTCCTACAGTAAAAGTGTTTGGAGTAAAGCAGCCATCCTCCTGATCAGTCCTGAGCTTCATCAGAGTCTAAACGTGGATTATAGAAGCTGAAAGTTTCATTCTGTTTCCTCTCTCTGTCCTGTCAAGTTTATTACTGCAAGGTTTTTCTGTTTTGTCCCACGATATTTGCTGTGACATTACTGCACGGATGGAAACGTTTAAATGACTGACAGCCGCCTTTCTAATCATCTAAGTGAATCGTTAAACATTCATACATCAATATAACACACAAGAAAGAAACCGCCTGGATCTACAGCGACCGGTGGAGGTCTCTAAATCTGATAAAATAATTAGTTGGTGGGGGGCGGGTGGAGGATTTATGCCCATAGGCTTAATGTCCGAGCCGATCCGCGCATCGCACCAATTCAGCTGCTATAATCGTGACAAACAGCTGCTGAAGTCAAATTATTAGGCTGTAATATCATCCAGAGCTAAATGATCTCCTGTTTACAGACAAGAAGCGCTCCGCAAAAAAGTGGTAGGTCTAATCTGCTGTGTAGCCTGGTGAATGATCAGGCTGCTGTAATCTGACTGTTTTCAACAGATGCTATAATGTTTATTGGAACCTCCAGATGTGTATAGGTGTGTTATAATGTTAACAGACATGTTTCTGGATTGTGAAGAAATGATCTGTAGCCTTTAGTGGCGACAGCTGCTCTGCTGCTCTGACAGAGATCACAGCTCTAACAGCGTACAGATGATGCAGCTGTGCAACATGTCAGATTTAATGGACGTCGCTTTAAAATAATGGCTTCATTAAATGAGTGTTTCCTGGACTCCTCGAGCTGGCATCTCGGGTGGGAGGGATTAAAACAGGCTGCACACCTCCACCTTCTCGGCCAGGTATCTAACTCTTGTGCAGCATGAAGTCAGATCATGGCTGCTCACATAATTATGGAAAAAGATCAATTACTAACTGACAATACTTTGTTTAGCTGCCCCGGACTTCTGTGACCTACAGGCTTAACCTGCATTTGCTGTTACAACCGGTAACTACAGGTGTCACGTCAACAATAAGGTCTCAGATGTATAATTGCGTCAAAACCATAGACTAGCCTATCGGGCCTTAAAGGTATATAAAGTATTAAGGTATTAAACAAAGTTGATCAACATAATCAGAAATGCAGTCAGCAGTTACAGATTTTTCTGTTCAAGTTGGCCAGTTACCATTATGGATTTACCATATTTTCAAGAGTCTGTTCACGGAACAAAAGTAATTTGTGAAAATAAAAATTTAAACACTGATATGGTAATTTATCCTAAGATAATTTAAAGTCCGTCCCTCACGGTGTCTGCTTAGAGAAATTCTGGCCCTTGAACAAAAGTAGGCTAGTTAAAGATCCCTGTTCTGATCAGAAACAATGTCCTATGGAAAAAGTGAATTCTCAGGAGACACAATAAGAAAAGTACTGACGATAATCTAAAGACAAAACAAAGTTAATGCAGCAGAATATTTGAAGTGTGGGCTTGTAGATAAGTGGCCATATACATGATGAGTCTTCATATTGTGTTTTAAATTGTCTAATCATATCAACTAATCCAAATCATCTTCTCCTGTAAATGTGACCAGGTTCGTGGCAGATCTTCATTTTGTGTCTGAATGTTGTCAGAATCAGATCTTCAGGCTCGACTTCCATCCAGTTGTTAAATAATAAACGTTTCTCCCCGTCGGGGAATCGAACCCCGGTCTTCCGCGTGACAGGCGGAGATACTGTCCACTATACTAACGAGGAAGGTGCAACAGTGTGTCCTCGAGGAAAAGCAGATTCATGGAGCTTGTATGACTGAAACTCATTCTGCGGGGTTTCTTGCACCAGCTGTGTATTTTTACACCACCATGTGGCGCTGTTTCCTCTCCTGTCTGTTTATGGACCTGCCTGAAGGAGAATTACCAACTTAATCTGATCAAGTCCTGTGTGCGTAGATTTTGCACATCATAGGTCACTCTCTCCCACTACGATCCTGCTGTGAACCATATTATTATTTTCTATATTAGGCCTGTAGGATATCATCCCTATACCACTAATGTAGATATTTATACCCATTATAATAACTACTGGGAATCTGTCACAGAACATAGGCCTACAGTCTTGACTTGACTCTGAGACTAATGTGGTTACGTTTAAATGACACATGGTGGATGTTATA